AGCGAACATTTGTTCCTCTTTGTCGGAGTATTTACCACACAAGAATCAGAGGTATGGTTTTTACTGTTGTAGAGCCACACATTAGCTCTCCAAAGGGTCACTACTTTTTTTTGCGTTAAATTTACCTTTTTATTCTAACATGTGCTTATTTCATATCTCCCGTCCCTTGTTCCTATCAACGTCATTGTGTGCGGTTCTTATTCCCTCAAAACGCATGAATTTATTTTGAAAATCCACAAAGAATAGTAGGAATACAAATGAAGAAGCTGGTACCGTTTGATTTGTTTCGCTATAATAGCTGTTCAACCACGTTTCGTCGCGCGGTTTGTTCGTTGAGTACAGGACGTCTTGTTATTTGCTCCTATGCGAATTCCTTCATCCGTCTAAGCCCATCCGTCCTTTGCACGGGCTCCTCCACATTCCACCACCACGCCACAACCCCTTGCCTGAATCCAGTGGGTGCACCGCAATACCAATGCAGTGAGTGCGGCAAAGCGTTTCGCCTTCTCAATGCCCTTAATCATCATATTTTAACGAAGCACGCCGGTCAGGCCAAAGCTTTGATTAAACGAGAGGGTAAAATCGAAGAAGTCGTAGTGACCCCACCTGCTGCTCAAGTGTCTCCTGCGTCACCGATGGCAGGCACAGTGCCACAACCACCCCACCTCGGCATGACGATGGCTGGAAGTGGGGACGCCGGGGGTGCTTTTCCCGGGCTATTTGCCGCTCCGCTGTGTGGTTCCACATACCAGCAATCAGGAGCACCTGGATCCAGCGTTCCTTCATCACAGCAGAATGAAGTCCCAGCGGCACCAAAGGTGGAGGCAAGCGCACCAGGTGAAGTCTCGGATGACGATGCCGATACGCGTCGGTTTGTGTGTACTATTTGCCAGAAGACATTTCGTCTTGAGGCCGCGCTGCAGCACCACTACCAGGCGAAACATAATATGGAAATGCCCCTTCCCGTTTCTGGAAGTGGTCAAAGCTCTAGCGCTACCAGAGAGCCGAGTGTTAACCCGATTCAAGATACAGCTTCTGGCCCTAACGCTGTGGAGGATGCCGGTACGTCTCTTGGAAACTTCCAGCACTACGTAAGACAGCAGGACGGGGCTCTTCTGCAGGCCCCACAGTACTACCTCGATGTGGCACCGAGCGCACCAGAGGAAGGCGATGTCGCGGTTCACTGGCGCTGTGTCAACCACTGCGTGCTAATGGGGGTAGTTCAGGAAATTCAAGAGGGCTACGTCTTCGAGGATCATGTGTTGCAATTCACATTGGTGACTGACTTTGCGGGCCCCGCGCTTGGGGATCCGAACAAGGACTTTCACACCGTTCGCGTCTACGACAATGCGTTCTGGAAATCGTTTAAGGAACAGCTTGGAGAGGGCGACCATTGCGTGGTGACAGGTCGGTTGCGGATGGTCCCACAGTTTGATTCTGTTATGAAAAAATACTATCATTATCCCATACTACAGGTTGAACCAGGAACAGGTTGTATGCAGAAGTTGTGATGAAAAGAATATAAGAGAAAATTTATTAATTTTCTACAAAAGACAGAGAAAGATGGCTTCCTATTTGTTTGCCTTTTTAATTTTTTTTGTATTTTCGAAACATTGAGTGATTGGTGGTGATAAGTATTGTCCCTGTGCTCGGAGTATTGTTGTCTGGCAAGAAAATAACTTCACACCTCCCCCTATCCCTTACACACGCAGCACGTATGGTTACTTCACTATTATTATTCCCTTCAAACGTCTTCTCGTGCATATTTTTACCCTTTATTGTTTTTGATCCCCAATACAAAAGACGAAGGAAGCCTGAAAAGTTAGCCAATAGGTGATTCGAAGAGAGCTTAATGTAGGATGGAGGTTCAGTCTCTGCGTATTAAGACTAATGCCAGAGCTGCATGCTCCGTCCGCAACGAGGTATGGCTTGCCCTCCAAAACGGTGGTCTCGGAGTCTACGATGCCGAAACGCACGAACATCTTAAAGATGTACCGATTGATATTGATGGTTTCAAAAACCCTCGAATAAAGCTAGTTGCTGCTATTCTCAAAGAGGTATGGGCTATTGCCTCTGAAGGGCAGATTTTCTCTGTTAACGGGCTAAGCTGCAAGGTTACAAGGAGATTGCAGGTTTATGCTAGCAAAAAGAAGGCGGAGGTGATGGATATGTCTTTCAATGGATCTTTGGTTATCCTAGCCTCAGAGGCTGGTTATGTCCTGACACTCCATCCGAACACGATGGAAGTACTATTTTCAATCTCCATATCGGCTCCCTGCACGGCAGTGGTACAGTTTTCATCACTGATTGCGGCAGGTGACTGTAAGGGCGCATTGTATTTGTGTGACACACAGACACAAAAGTGTATACTTGTTCATACTGAAGGTAAGGATGACGTTCTCAAACTGTTATATGATACTACGTGCAACAGGCTCTGGGTGGCGCGTCGCAATGGTAACATTGACTTGTATGACTTTGAACCCAGTAACAAAAGACTGTTACTTTATAAGCGGTTGCTATCAGTTGGGATTGTGACCGGCATGGTGGCAATGAGTGGGAGGGTAATAGTGTCGACATTCGAGAAAAAACTTGTCGTTATCGATTCGGGCAACGCACACATCTTGCACACGTCTATGGGTATCCATAAAAAGTTCATTCATGATGTTGTCAAAGTGAGACACACAGAAATAGCGGAAGTATGGAGCCTAGGAAATGACGGCGCGGTCTGTGTGTGGTTTGTAACTGTTCGTTCTGAGCCGATATATGTGCCACCCCTTATAGACGACTTACCAGTGTTGGACGTATCGCCATGCCCATCGATTAACGTTACAGAGGCTAAAAATGAGCCTTCTAAGGTACCTACAATATTTGAGCTGAATAAGCACTTTGATATCTTGGATAATCTGCGCCAAGCTCGTGAAGAGGCACAGGAGATGCGTTTGCGCTCTATAAGGCTGGAGGAGTTGCTCAAAGTTAAGAATGACGAGATCGAAACGAAATACAAAGAGATGAAAAACCTGGAGGATCGTATAAGTGCACTCACTAAAGATGTAATTGATATTACAAGCGAAAAGCGATCTATGGAGCGTGAACGTGCGATACTTCAATCCGAGCTTAATTTTACAAAGAGCGAAACTTTTAGAGTGAGTGGGGAGGCAGCGAGCCAAATGTCTATGAGAATACGCGCAGAAGAAGAGGTATCTCAGAAAAAAGTTGATATTATTCACCTAGAGAGGCGTCTCCGTGATGCAGAGAGTCAATTGGCTTCTGTGCAGATAGAAAACACACAATTACGTAGGTCTGTGGACATTAGCGTAGTAACTCAACGTCCTGGGATGGTGACGTTGCTGCCAATGATTGAATCTCAAGCTCTAACAAAACAGGAGCTTGAAAAGGCCCTGAGTCTAAACTACTCACTCAATTCTGCGTTGAGATCCATGGAGTTCACCCTTCGCTGTAAGGAGGAAGAGGAGAAGGATCTGAACGTGTTGCTTAACGCTTATCGGCTCAAGGCCGCAGACCGTGTTAGCGATTCTTGCCTTTCTGCCCTGCTCATCGCGAGCATCACGCGGTGTCCAGAGCGGTTCGAGTTATATTGTGATGATCAGACGTTATCAGAATTGCGTGCATACACCAACCCTTTTATTAATTACCTTGTTTCCCTGCGGAATGGCGATCCGGAAACGTACCAGGGTCTGGTGAACCACCTTCATCAGTATGCCATTGATGGATCCATATCACTCCAAACGCAGCAGCATTTGGATCGGCTTCTAATCTTGGCCTTTGAGAAGGGAGACTTGGTCGGTGCCGATACGTTAGCAGCCTTTAAGAGAGCCATTTCTTGCCAGACAACTAGGAATTATAACGACAACCATGCGCTTGGTACATCGCCAACCTCAAATGAAGCGAGCCCTCCACCTAACAGGACGAGTGACCTATCTGGATCCTTTTCATTATCAGGCTTGCGGGGAGCGGAACCTGCGCGTAATTTTGCTGTTCCCATCTCTACATCTGTAAGCAAGAGCGTTGCAGGTATTTCATCTTCTACCCCAACTCTTGCAGACAAAACCAATATCGATAAGTATCGTGAGGTGTTTGAATTCATTTTGTTTACTAGACGTCCGCTGGTGGAGCATTTGGTTCACCTGCACCAGTGGACTATAAATATAAGACAGAAGGTCGAAGCACTCTCATTAGAAGACTTTCTGACCTCAATTCTTTCCATTCAGAGTTCGACTTCCACTCAAGTCTCTTCCCATGTGGATTTGATAAAGTCATTTAAAAACATCGGACCCATGATTACGGAGATTGATGAGCTCGTCTCCTTCCTTGTTAGGAGTTACCTCACCGCTGCTGAAAAGCAGCGACTGAGCGTAGGGTAAATTTAACATATATGTAGAACACCTTTTTTTTTACAAACTCCCTACAAGCAAGTCACCGAGTGCGTCAGTGGGTGCTTTACTGAACCCCATCGTAACGTAAGGTCTTTAAATTATTAGAATACCTATTTCTTGTCTATTTTTTCCCATTTATATTTTTATTAATATATTCTATGAATTCAAAGTTCATGTATACATTTTTATACAACGTTGATACCAAAATGAAAATCCAGCTCTCCGCATCATATTTTCCACATTTTGAGATTTTGCTAGAGGACATTACATTTCTGTTGAAATCTGTTTGAATGCGAGTCATTAGTTTACACTTTTACTTCTTCTTTTTTGCTTTATAATGTGGGACTGACTATAAATCATGATAGGGGTTTAATCTCTTGAAAACAACAACACCTGTACAAAGGTAGTAAGGTTATGCCTCATGACGGGGATCTTAGGAATGCCCAGGACTCTGATTCAGAGGTGAGTGCAACCTCCGGTAGTGCGAGCGACAGTCGTGGTACGTCACAGTCCTTCGTTTCTTCAGATGACACAGGAAGACAGGAAACGAGGCAATGGGGCTTTGGGTTTATGGACCACGAGGGACAACAGGCCGCTGCGGTCTACCAGAGCCTTAGGATGAGCCACGAGCACCGCCGGCGTCGGTTGTTTTCCCAGCGCCGCCTTGCGCACCCGGAGACCGCGCGGGTGGGGGACTCGAACGCCTTCTTTTTCCGACCAGAATATCTCGCTGAAGATGACGCCGTGCTTCTACAGACCTTCTCAAACAGTGATTTCTTCGAGAGACTCCTGGAGGCGGTTCGGACATCTCGATTAACGGGCAGCGTCAGGGACGACACGGCCATCCTGGATGAGATTTTCTACAAGGCAAACCCTCTTTTCCGTAAAAAGTATGCAATTTTGATGAAGTCTAACCAGCTTGGCGGTGATGACCAGGGGCCTGATGGCACCAATCTCAGTCAAATCAACGAGTACGTTGAAGAGCACGCAAGTGCACAGTCAATGACGAATAGTTGGCAATCAGTTCCCATACGGACGCGAGTGGCGCGCGAGGGGAATGTGAGTTTATCCGCTAAAGGGCAGCGATCCGCTACGAAACGGCAGAGGGAGGATAAAAAGGCTAGCTCCACCTCAATGGGATTGGTGGCACAATCGATGCAGCAGTGGGAAAAGCATTTAGAGGAGGAGTTAGTTGTCGAGGGCGAGACCATTGACAGCTTCCGGCAGGGGAAAAACAAAACCAGTTATATTGAGAAAGAGGAATTCCAAAGGGCGGCACAATGGAATGAATTTTTGAGAGAGAGGGCACTTGAAGAACAGCAACGCGAGTTGGCCATGAAGCGTGCGATTCGTAGGAAGGAGGTGGGTCCGTAAAATCCTTGGGATTTGTAGGGTGATACTAAAAATCTTTATTTGCTCTTTTTTTTTGCGTTTTAATTTACTCGGCAACCGTGCGGAGCATTATGGTGTAGTATGTATTAGCAAAGCATTCAAGAATGGATATCTGTATTTTTTGTTTTCTTCTTTCTTTTCATATTAGCTACTTATTCTTGGTAACAGTTACTAAATCTAAATATAATTTTGAAGTTTTTTCGAGTAATAATCTGTGATTTTCACACAACCACCTATTATTTAAATCGTGTCAAGTATGGGCCAATCAGCCAAAATAACTCGCGGGGGCAACAAAAAGCGTATTAATCAGGGGAGGCTTCAAGCCAAGATGAAAGCACAAGGTGGGAAAATGCATACAACATCGATTAAAGAATCAGTCGATGCGAAGCGCCTCCTCAAACTAAAAGCCCAGTCAATATCTGATGTGTTGAAAGCCAAAACTTCGGCAAATTTACAGGGACAGCAGGCCCAGGTTACCAGTATTATTCGTATGCTTCCTAAGCCACGGCCTAACAACACTTCTGCCTCCCCTACAGGAAGTAGCACAGTCCAACGCACAGCACCATAAGCAGAATAGGACATCAGAAGAGGGGGTAAGATTACATGGTATTTGATATACTATTGCCACTAATTATTCTTCCCCTCCTCCCCTCCCTTTATTACGATATGATGTGGCTTTTTTTTTTTTGGAAACGATTAATGCGACTGCAATGGATGAGTCTTCTCATATTTAAGACCGAGCTGATTTTGCTCAGTGAGTTTGTTTCATATTGCCTTAAAATGTATTCTCATCTGACTCATTCCTCAAGGAGGAAGGATCCCTAAATCAACGTTATGTATTTTGTATTCAACTACTTTTTTTTTCTTTTTGTGGTAATTTTCTGTAGTTTTCTTTGTGCAACCAGTTCGTCTTATTTTACTACAAACTACATTCCTTACCAAATCCACTTGTGATGATGCGTCGTGTGATTACTCAGCCAATCGCCCACCGTATGGCCGCGGTTTCCTCCACCGCCCTTACGGTCCGCCCACGCTGCGCCTCCACCGTGGCAATTTCTGTGCAGGGGCTGCACTACGTCGGTACCGGCCTCGCCGCCATCGCCCTAGCGGGAGTGGGGATGGGTATCGGGACCATCTTCGGATCGCTTTTGCTGGCCTGTGCACGCCAGCCGAATCTGACGAAATTGCTCTTCAACTACGCTATCCTAGGCTTTGCCTTGACGGAGGCTATCGGCCTGTTTGCACTGATGCTTGCTTTCCTCATGCTGTTCTCGTAAAGAACACAGTAAAAGCAAGAGCCTCAGATGTGTGTGTGTGTGTATGTCTGTGTGTATATGGAAGAGAGGGGGATTCATTTTTTCCCCACTCTTTTGGTGTGCTCAGTTATCGGTTAGTTATAGGGAAGTAACCTGTGCTATACTAGCATAGTGTTTTTAATTGAAATTAACGGAAACATGGACTAGTTATTATTATCGTTGTTTAGAATAAAGCAACAACACTAAAATTGAGTAGAAAATATGTATGATGTAATGTCGCCTGATTGCTAGTACATTAATATTATTACTAAGTTAGTAGGTATCACTTGTCGTTATGAAATATATTTTATTGTGAGTCCTATTTTAGAGAATTTATGTAGCTTCCTTACTGGGCCTCAGGAGCCTTATTTATGGATGCATTGCGAATACTTTGCAGTTTGTTTTTAGATTTTATCGTGCAAATACTCTTCTCTTATCCCCCCCCCAAAAAAAAATCAACACCAGAAATCTTAATCTTTAGTAGTGTAGTGATCCATGTCATATAAACGGATTCTAAAGTTGGGTGGGGTTGGACTCCTCACATTAACATGTGCCATGGGCGGGATGCGCTGGAATAGACTTCAAAAGAGACAATGTGAACTAGATAACCAATACGAAAAACTGATAGTTGAGTTCCGTCTGTACAAAGAGGAGGAGTCGCGCTACTCAACGGAATTACGTGAGAGGGAGAAAAAGACGGTTCTCTTGCATGAGACCGTTGACACCCTTTGGAAAGACCGCCTCGAACGCTACAAGAGGGCGATATTGGATCAGTACGCCTACTTAAAGGCGATGCCAGAGGCTCTGGGTTCTTTAAGTGGCATCACCAATCACTATCGCTATATGACTGATAACATGGACAAATTTGTAGGGTTTGATGTGTCATGCTGTCAACTACACAACCTTGCGCTTCTTCTTGAACACGCTCATGTATTTGGGATAACGCGCGTTCTTGAAACCATGAAAGAGTTGTTTGCGTCTGAGCCTCTCATCAAAGCGGCATGCGAAAGTGTGGAGCAAACCGTAGAGATTAGCTGTCCGAGTACTGTGGCCGAGACCAGCGCGGCTTTTATTTATTGCTTGGAGGCTCTGGATGAGGCAGTGTCTCGCCGTTCGAGCACCCTCGCAGCCGCCACGGAAGCTTCCAGTTCAAGCCCTGTATCGGATGGGGTGCGTGAATTAGTGAAAAAGGCGCATCTTTCTACTCTTAGTCGAGATCAAAAGGCTCTGTATGACAAGCGGTTGGCTTTGAGGAAGCTAGTGCAGCAGGAGAAACGCCAGATTCGAACCAAGGAGGATGTGCGCTTGGCCATTGAGTATGCTGAAAAACTACAAGTCTATTTTGCAAACCCGCCCAAGAATTCCCCATGGTTTTTTATTAGGCGTAAGGATAAGTTCATGGATGCGGTGCGGTCTGACGCTGAGGTGAAGCGTGCACTTCAACAAATAGAGCTGTGGCGAAATACGGCGGCAGTTTTTTTTCTGCGACAGCAGGCCCAAGATATTTTGGACTATTATCAATTGTTGCTCGCTGAATCGCTTACAAGTGTAAACAATACCAAATCCTAAATCCAGGGTAGTGGAAAAGTGTTATGATGAAGCATTCTAAAAATTTAGGTTATTTAGTGTCTAATTCATTTCTATTAGTATGGACTACAGTGCCATAAATATTTCACTCTTTGTTACCGTTACGAAATCGTGAAAGAAGAGGATGGAGGCCTTGGACGAATTTCGATATATATCTTTCTATCCTTCTAAAATAGGAGAGGTGATCTTTATTTAATGCATCCATGCGCTCAACTAGTAGATTTCAAAAAAAAAATTTAACCTTTTTTTTTTGCTGAAGCATCAGTGTTGCAATATCATTAAAAAAAAAGTGAGAAGTGATGGTGTCAGGACTGCGATCTTGGATAAGCGTCTGGACATGAAGCTTAAGGTGTATTTTTCATTTTTTCTCTTTTCTCGACTTTCCC